GACGGTCCCACCCCCGCCTCGCAGCTCCCCAGAAGCCAATCCCTGCAGATACCCTCCACCCGAACAAATGTAACTCCCAGCCGCTCCTCGATTTCGCCGTCCCGCGCCGTCTCCGATGCAGGTCGGCGACCATCGCAGCAACATCATGTTCGATTCTCGACTGACCTAGAACGCCCTGCGGTGGACGAGGCCCAAGGGTCCAATTGGGATCGTCGACCAGCCTCAAGGGGATTGACCATTGACACGAACCTCGCGGACAATTCAAGCGCCACTTCGCCATTGTCTCCGCGCTCTGCATTGTCCCCCCCGTCCCCGCAGAGTCCTGAATCTGGGAGTCGGTCAAGGTCCCGCCACCGTGGATACTCCCTGCGACGAACAATTTTTGCCAAGAATATCGAGTCGCAGTCGGCCGTTACTTCTCCCGACGCGATCGAGTTAGGTACCGCTTTGCCTGTGAGCCCTCAGCAGGTCGAGGCTTCAGCAGATGGTCTTGCTCGGACAGCAACGGCGAACGAAAGCGGGCAGGCGCTGGCAGATGAGAAACAGGAGGTGCTGGTCATGCAAAGATCGGCCTCAGATGCCAACTTGGACTTATCCACAACCTATTACTCGGAGCCTTCGGAGAACCTGAAAGATGGTAGACACCTTTCCACGACCTTCTCATACGACCGGTGGCTGAAGCGCAAAGCTGTGATTGCCACGCTCAAGCTTCGTATCGAGACGATAGCCGAGACAGTTCGCAAATCTATACTCCGCATCAAGGAGATCCCCCCAAGCAAAGACGGGCGTCATATCGATCTCATTCCTGCCCGCACAGAAACGTTGGTGGATGAGAGAACCGGAAAGCCGTATTTGGGGAACTCCATCCGTTCCAGCCGATACAGTTTCTGGAGCTTCTTTCCCCGCCAACTGTTCGCCCAATTCACCAAGCTTGCGAATTTCTATTTCCTGATAGTCGCCATCCTGCAAATGATCCCTGGGCTGAGTACCACTGGTACCTACACCACGATTGTTCCGCTACTTATCTTCGTCGGTATCTCTATGGGTAAAGAAGGGTTTGATGACTGGCGCCGTTATCGCCTGGACAAGGAAGAGAACAATCGGAATGCCCTTGTCTTGCGTCCAAATGCTGGAATTTTCCATCCGGCTTCTGCCAACGACAACGTCTCCGTGACCAGCGACGTGCAAGATTGGACGTCAATCAAATGGAAGGATATTCAAGTGGGCGATGTGATCAAATTGGAGCGCGACCAGCCTGTGCCGGCGGATATGGTTCTGCTCCATGCGGACGGGCCGAATGGCGTTGCTTATATCGAAACCATGGCTCTCGATGGCGAGACGAACTTGAAGAACAAGCAGCCTTTGCAGCCGGTAGCAAAGATATGTGGTTCTGTGGAGGGTATCTGCAGTACCGCTCTACATTTCGCGGTCGAGGATCCCAACCTCGACCTCTATAAGTTCGATGGCAATGTCACGGTCGCCGCGGACGAGAAACTGCCACTAACCAACACTGAAGTTCTCTACCGCGGTAGCATCATGCGCAACACGGAAAGGGCGATCGGCATGGTCATCTACACAGGAGAGGAGTGCAAAATTCGCATGAACGCGAACAAGAACCCTCGGATCAAGTCTCCATCGCTCCAGGCAAAAGTCAATCGGGTGGTCATGTTGATCGTGACGCTCGTTGTAGTTCTGGCTGTAGCGTGCACAATCGCTTACAAGTATTGGTCCGACGACGTTGAATCGAAATCATGGTACCTGTATAAAGCGAGCGTGGACATCGGACCTATCTTCACCTCCTTCCTCATTATGTTCAACACGATGATCCCTATCTCATTATACGTGAGTATGGAAATCGTCAAAGTTGCTCAAATGTTTCTTTTGAATACCGACATCGACATGTATGATTCTGAAACAGACACCCCAGTTGAAGCACGCACATCGACCATCAACGAAGAGCTGGGTCAAGTCAGTTACATTTTCTCTGACAAGACAGGCACATTGACGAACAACTCGATGCGCTTTCGCAAGATGAGTGTTGCTGGCACTGCGTGGTATCATGACCTTGACCTTCTTCAAGAAGCAGCAAGGGACGGTGATCATACCAAACTGATCCACAAAAAGCGCAGTGCCAAAGGGAAGAAGGCACTCAGTCGCAAGTCCAATGTTTCCGAGGCTAGGAGACATCCACCAAGGTCCTCTATGTCAACAGCAACCGGGCTGCAGGGACTTGGTATCTCTATGCGCAATCATCGGACCACAGACATGCTTCGATATATCCAGCGTAAGCCCTATACAGTCTTTGCGCGGAAGGCTAAGATGTTTATACTGGCCATGGCATTGTGCCATACATGTATCCCCGAGGATGACGACGAAGGTAACGTTTCCTTCCAAGCGGCTTCTCCTGATGAGCTAGCGCTGGTCATGGCTGCACAGGAGCTTGGATATCTTGTTCGTGACCGGCAACCGAATACCTTAACAATCCGCACCTACCCCAACGGCCTCGACGGGCCCGCATGTGACGAGGTCTATGAGATCATGGATATCATCGAATTCTCCAGCGCCCGAAAACGCATGTCGGTTGTGGTTCGAATGCCTGACCAACGCATCTGCTTGTTTTGCAAGGGAGCGGATAGCCATGTCATGCGCTTGCTCAAGCGTGCCGCCCTCGCGCAAGAGAAAGCAGTGGAGATTGAGAGGCGCGCCAGCAAGCGGAAGGCCGCCGAGGCTGATCAGGTTATACGGCGCAATAGCGAATATCATAGCCGCAAGGATAGCGGTCTCCGGACCAGCTTCAGCCGGCCGAGCATGTCGAGACGACGGTCAAGCGTGACTGGAGAACCTGTTTCGGCGCTGCGGGAGAGTATTGATGTTTGGCTCCGCGATCGGGAAACTGACGGTGGTCTCCTGACGCGTGGCAACGACCCTGAGTACTACAGCCCCCGACCATCTGCCCAGTTGGAACGAGCATCTAGTACGTTATCGGATTCGGGAAGTTCTGTGCATGATAACGAGGAAGAAGACTTGGTTGAGGAAGCTCTTGTTGTGAACGAGACCGCTGTCTTCGAAAGATGTTTCCAGCATCTCAACGACTTCGCTACCGAAGGACTTCGGACGCTTCTGTACGGTCACCGGTTTCTTGATGAAGATACGTACACGAGCTGGAAAAAGGCTTATCTTGAAGCCTGTACCAGCCTTGTTGAACGTCAGGAGAAGATCGAGATGGTTGGCGAACAGATAGAGGATCAACTTGAGCTTACAGGTGCCACAGCCATTGAAGATAAGCTTCAGAAGGGCGTTCCCGGGGCTATCGACAAACTGCGTCGAGCCAACATCAAGTTGTGGATGCTTACTGGTGACAAGCGTGAGACGGCGATCAATGTTGGACACTCATGTCGCCTTGTGAAAGACTATTCTTCTTTGGTGATCCTGGATCACGAGACAGGGGAGGTCGAGCGTTCGATTGTCAAATCCACCGCCGACATCACCAAAGGCACCGTGGCTCACTCGGTGGTGGTCGTGGATGGGCAGACCCTCTCGATGATTGAAGCCGACAAGACTCTGGAAGCGCAATTCTTCCGACTGGCCATCATAGTCGATTCAGTGATCTGTTGTCGTGCCAGCCCTAAGCAAAAAGCATTCTTGGTCAAGTCGATTCGGAAGCAAGTCAAAGACAGCGTGACGCTGGCCATCGGCGACGGTGCCAACGACATCGCCATGATCCAGGAAGCCCATGTTGGCATTGGCATCACTGGCAAGGAAGGGCTTCAAGCCGCTCGTATATCCGACTATTCGATTGCGCAGTTCCGGTTCCTCCTCAAGCTTCTCCTTGTCCACGGCCGTTGGAACTATTTCCGCGTGTGCAAGTACACCCTGGGCACTTTCTGGAAGGAAATGCTTTTCTATCTCACACAAGCTCTCTACCAGCGCTGGAATGGCTATACAGGTACTAGTCTTTACGAGTCCTGGAGTCTGAGCATGTTCAATACTCTCTTCACGTCACTTGCAGTCATCTTCTTGGGCATTTTTACTAAGGATCTCTCCGCCTCCACCCTCCTCGCCGTGCCAGAACTCTACACCAAAGGTCAACGCCACGGAGGGTTCAACATTCGATTATATATCGGCTGGACTTTCATGGCTACCTGTGAAGCCATGATCATCTACTTCCTTATGTTCAGTCTCTTCGAGAAAGTCATGTTTACCCATACTGGAAGCGACATCTTCTCCGCCGGTCTCCTCACCTTTACCGCCTGCGTCATTGTCATCAATACGAAACTTCAAGCGCTTGAAGTACACAACAAAACTTACATGTCTCTGGCGGTCTGGATCATTTCCGTCGGTGGTTGGTTCTTGTGGAACCTGATCCTTGACGTGCGGTACAACCCCTCCTCCGGCGACGGCATCTACCATGTTCTCGGAAATTTTGTCAACGTTTCGGGCCACGACCTAGCTTTCTGGGCCGTGTTGCTCGTGACGGTGGTGAGCGTGGTGGCCTTTGAAATGACCGTCTCCGCCCTGCGGGCCTTGTTCTTCCCTACAGACGTCGACGTCTTCCAGGAATACGAGCAGGACCTGGACATCCGCATGCGGTTTGAAGAAGCCGCGGCCTCGGAACTCCAACAGGGCTGGGACCACGGCAAGAAGAAATCCAGCTTCGAACTGGCACGGGAGGAGGAGGAGATGGAAGCCAAGGAGCGACAAGTCCGGGAGTTGCTGGCTCGGCCGCGAGTCATGGTCTCACCCGCCGCGAAGACCAATGATGGTCCGGTCGCGACAGAGATGGAGTTGAAAGAAGGCTACCAGCAGCATCCCCACAAGAGTGATGGTGATGGACCAGAAGACGAAGAGATCGAGAACGCTGACGGGGGCACCAAGACCCCGCGCCGCTCGGTCGAGATACACGAATTATTTTCCAAAGGCTACGGCGCAATCCGGAAGGGCCAGTTGAAGTAGACGAAGAACCTCACCCCCACAACCTGAAGACAAAAAGAAAAGAAAATCAAACGCAAAAGAAGAGAATACGGACAATATGCCCCCCCCCCCCCAATTTCATGATTTTCTGCTTTTTACAAGCGTGTGTCACATCATCATCATGGCGTTTTGCAAGAAATGGATACCCCCACACCTTACTTACTTAGCCTTCACTTGTTGTTTCAACCCACTCACTACCTTATTCCTGGTCTGTTTTTGGTTTGCTTGCTTGATACCAGTTTCTCTGTGTATACATTCTCTCGCTTCGTCGTGGCTTACCCATATACCACCACGCCATTTGTGAAGCATTAGTGATTCTGCATGGGAAGACTGCTTCCGGTGTTTGATAGATATAGAGAGACTATTTTGTGAATGAAAGCAGACCAGCGAAGTGAACATAGGTCTTCCCTCTTCCTATCACCGTGCCTGGTATTCTTCGCCAGTTACACGACTAGTGTGCGAATGGTGTCAGTGCAGTGCACAGCCGGCTTCACACATTCAGGGAACTTGTACTGTCATATTTCTGGTTCCTGTAAAATGTTTGCAGCCACAGCTGAGTGCTGCATATATGGATGGATTTAGGTAAGGCATGAGCAAATCAATTAATCCTGAAACCATGTAAAAAGAAGACGGCAAACGGAAAAGAGAAAGGAGTCGCTTGACGCAATTATGAACATACAGGCAGGCAGTGGTATCTCATAGTAGGTAAAACAGCAGTCACTCAGCTAGGTAGGCAGTCGGCATACTCAATCTGGGAAAATCCCATGGCTTGCCTTTCTCACCGCTCAGCGCGGGCGCAGCGTGAGGACGAGCCAGATTTGCAGGCTCGGAAGTATACGGTATAGTGAACGGGTCAGAAGGGGAGAGTTGATTCGCACTAGAATCGTGGTGGTGGTGCACGTGTCCATAGCGGTGGACGTGGGGGTTGTGAGTTAAGGTCGGGGGGCTTCCAGAACAGTGGGGGCTCGCAATCCCGTCTCGATGTACTTCAAAGGCCGGCCTCTTTCCTTCTAGTAGGTTTATAGCGAGCAAAAGAACCCGTTCACAGTTCCTCTCTTCTTGATCGAAACCCCACATCATCCTTGCAGCTCGTACATCTGCGTTCCCTCTTGGACCGGCTGCTTCTTCGCCGGGGCAGGTAATTCGTACAGTGGCGATCCCGCCACTTCATTCGTCTCCTGCGTGGGGATTGGGGTCGCCCTCTGCCTCTTCTTTCGCCGACGGAGGAAGAAGAATGCGAGGGCCCCAATCACGGCGGCGGCACCGACACCCACGCCGACGCCGACGCCGACGCCGACGCTATTGGAGCTGGAGCTGGAGCTGTGGGAGGAAGCGGGCGAAGAAGTGGTCGAGGTCGATCCAGAGGTCGCGGCACCGGTGGACTGCGCTGAGCCAGTCGAGGTCGCAGTGGTGGATGCCGTGGTCGTCGTCGCGGTGCCCTTTTCGCGCACGTAGAAGTAATCACTCCAGCTGATCCAGCCGTATAGATCGATTCCGTAGGTACCTAACTTGGCGGTGGCGTTAAATAGTCCGATCTGGTATTGGGGGTTGGTGGTGTTGAAATCGCTGGGGATGGCCCAGGTGTATTGTTCCAAGGTGCAGTTGGCGGTCTCATTGACGACGAGTTGGTACAGGGAGCTGGTTGTGGTGAACTTCGCGCCCACTAGTTATACGTCCAAAGATGAAGTCAGTCCGTGGATTGTAGGCAAGAAGACCCCCGGTTCAAGACAAGAACTAACCCGTGATTTCGTCGATGAGAATGCCTCCGGCGCGGCCCAGGGAGATGTTGAGTGGAGTATCTCCATTGTCGATCGCGCCCCATCGGAGCTGAAGGATGTCACCCGGGTTGACCTCCTTATTCTCGAGCCCATAGAACGTCCCAGGGACGCAGTCCGTATATCCTTGGGTCGACATGGTTAGAGAATGGAGCAGGAGAGGCTCACAGGGAAGCCTTCTCGGGGGAAGATCAGGGTTGGAACACTAGAGAACATGGCCTGGGGTTCATGGTCCAAACGGCAGGAACAGTCTTCTTTACTTAGGGCAGCAGACCCATCACCAGGAAGTGCCCGTCAATAGCGGTCTCATAATATAGGGCCGTATCCGGCCGTAACAGCCTTCAACTACGATCGCTAGCTCGTACGCAGTGCTGTGGCATTGCAACCGACCGCAAATCAGAGCCTCGTATACCTCCCCAGTTGGCGATCCTTCATCTAAGTCGAGAATCCTTTCGCTCGGACACCAGCAGCCTTGGTGTGGCAATTGGGTGATCGGACTGCATTGTGGACGGGAAAACGTGTAGGCAGAAGTGAGTGCGTGCGCAGAGTCTATCGGGATGGATGGTTTCAGCCTGAGCAGGGACCTTGCAGAGAAAGAGAGGAATTCGACATACTCCGGAGTACTGTTGTACTGTATTCAGTCAACCAACATTCGTCACTTCAGGGGAGGCGCCGCCTCTGCGGGTGGGACCAGGGATTTGGGGGCCAAATAATGGTTCTGATGGTTCTGGGTTGTCCCAAGATCCCGGCGCGTCTCGAGGCCGCCCTGGACTGCCAGGAGGCCAGGACTCTAGTCCGAGAGTCTCCATATTAACAGTCACTTCCCACCAATGGTCGACCAGCCCGCCAAGCAGGATGTATGCCTTGGCTGTTGTTATATGGACAGATGATTATCGCTGTCTGATCTTCCTTCCCTCTTTTGTTTGCGTTTTGCGTCGAGGGCCATGCTGTTAAACACCCTCCTCGATCGCCCGACCGACCAACTCAACCCCTCCCCCTCCTGCCCCCTCCTGAAGAAAGCAATGAGTGCTATAACCTCAAGAGAACCCTAAAAATGCCGGCGTCTCGAATGCAACTGCGGCGGCAGAATACATTAATTGCTTTGGGTCTCGTGGCCTTCTGCGTTTGGTTCTTCACCTCGCATCGATCGCGAAGCGGCGAACTGATTCACAGCCATGAGCAATTCTGGAGAGATTTCCACCCGCTTCTTGTGGATAATGCGCCAGACTGTCAGTCCCCAACACGCCTGGGAAATGCTGAATCTGCCGGCTTCGATCCACAAAGCACCGAACCGCTGCCTGACTTATTGAGGATGCCAGCCGAGGATATTGCAAAGATGAAACAAGCACACACGGCCTTCGCAAATGCGATCGAAAGAGCCCCTCCAAAACTCAATTACCAGCCACACACGCGTGGACTGGTTTCAACAGCCGGCGGCCCTTATCTTCCAGTCTTGGTGATTTCGCTGCGCATGCTGCGACGTACGGGCTCAACTCTGCCGATGGAGGTATTCCTCGCCGACTGGGAGGAATATGATGGCTATCTTTGCCAGGCTGTCCTTCCCTCGCTGAACGCGCAGTGCGTGGTTCTGTCGGAGATCCTGGAAGCGGTGCCCGACAGCACGAACAAGATCGAGAAATACCAGTACAAGATCTTCGCAATGCTTTTCTCCTCCTTCGAAGAGATCCTCTTCCTCGATGCAGATGCTTTTCCCCTAAAAAAGCCAGAGGAGTTGTTCACCGCCGACCCGTTCAAGTCCAAAGGCCTGGTCACCTGGCCCGATTTCTGGCGTCCCACAACATCCCCTTTGTACTATAAGATATCATCGCCCAAAGAGAGTGGAACGCACCCGGCCAACCCGACCGCTCTCCGGCAGTCGACGGAGTCCGGGGAAGTACTCGTGTCCAAGCGCACTCACCTTCGCACCCTTCTCCTCGCTGCGTACTACAACTTTTATGGACCCAGCCATTATTACCCGCTTCTCTCGCAGGGCGCAGCCGGCGAAGGGGACAAAGAAACGTTCCTTGCCGCCGCCAACGCCCTCGACGAGCCTTTCTACCAGGTCAGCGAACCCATCCGGGCCGTTGGGCGCCGGACGCCCGACGGTTTCGCGGGGTCCACCATGGTTCAGTACAGTCCGATGGAGGACTATGCCCTGACGAAGAAGGGCATTTGGAGAGTCAAGGGTGCCACTGCGCCCACGCCCAGCCCATTCTTTGTACACGTCAACTATCCCAAGTTCAACCCGGCCACAATCTTCGCGGAGAACGGCGTAACCAACCCGGTGATTGATGAGAGAGGACAGTATACGCTGGCATGGACGGCGCCCGAAGAAGTGGTCGCCTCGTTCGGCGACAACGCTCAGCAAAGATTCTGGGAAGATATCCATTGGACGGCCTGCGTGCTGGAGGGCAAGACCCTAAGCTGGAAAGGCAATACGGGGATCTGCCAGCAGACGAGGGACTACTGGAATAGTGTTTTTGGAAATTCGGCTGGTAAGATGATGAATCAGTCATAAGCGAGTCACGAAAAAAATAGATTCGATTGATAGCCCCTGTGCTGGTCGCATGTGCTATAGCCCTTATGAGAGTGAGCGATATCTTATCTAGCGTTGCTGGGGACGTTCGGTTTGCGAAGAACATCATACAAGTTCCCTGTCAGCAGGTGCTCGGTTTGAATAAAGGACTCGTCACGAAAGATATCTCGGGAGGACTGGCTATCCGTCATATTTGTCGCAGACAATCATTCCACAGCCATCGTCTGCTCCAGCATTCGAACAGGTAAAGAAAGGCTGGGATCAGAGCAGGGGCCTTAGGTTGTTCGACCATGTCGAGAGCCTGTCTTTTGGTGTGTCCGCTGAACGTGATCCGAAACAAGCAGGATGATACCTAAGCAGGACTTACCATACTAGGTAGGCGCTGTAGACAACTTGGAATTCAACGGTGACCGTGGATTAAAACAACAATCAGGGGAAAACCTCTGCTCAATCAAGCATGATTCATGAATGTGCTATATTCAAATAGAATTTGACCTCCCAGGACTACTCGTAAAATTGTGAAGATGAAAAAAAAGAAAAGAAAAGAAAAGAAAAGAGCTGAGAAGAAAAGAGAAGAAGAACCATCAGTCTCCGTTATAACTGCAGCTCAGAGTAAGGCTTTGAGGAGCGTCCGGGTTTGATGGTGATGTTGTCGATGCTGAGGAGGCTCCTGGTTCCCAACCGCGGCGAGACATTGGCGTGTTGCGAGCCTGTAGTGGCTGTCAGGCAAGGTTCAGGTTCGGATCGTCTATCCCTTGCTCACTTTGTGAGTTTGCATCGGTTTGACCAACTAGTTAACTACGTCTCGAGATGACAAATGCATCTCGTGCCTTCGGGGTTTTGTGCTTGTTGTGAGCCGTTATATATCGTGAGAAGAATATCTGATCAGCTGTGGTAAACAATTCATCTACTAGTACAATTATAGACCTGATGGTTTACATCCGAGCTTTCAGAAGTATACAATCCCAGCCTCCGAGCTGTGCAAGGCAAGTGACAGAGCTGCGTTTTTGTGCCCGTTCTTTCGCAGGGGCCTCAGATGGAAGCACGCAAAACCCAAGTTAAGACCCAAGCAAATCAGGTTAGGTATGTACAGTCCTGCCTGCTACAGTCCTGCCTGAGGTGCAGTACGTAGGTAGTAAGCTACCGCCTTTAGCTATCCCTCCCCTAATGGCGATGCACCTCTAAGCGAGAAAGCTTCTTGTCGGCAGTATTTCGCTATAGAGCCTAGGTAGTAGTCAGTCTTATCCACCCTGCCCTGCCCCTTCTAAGCGACGGAACATAAAGCTGGCAATTATGGCTCAAGTGCATGCATTTGTGATCGAGCACTATTTATGCTTACATCTCCATAGTGGAATGTGGGAAAATCTATCATTCTGGGGGCAAAAGCTATAATTATCTCCTCGCGATGAGTCCTTCGTAAGAGAATGACGATCCCCAAGACCAGGTACCAGGTGGCTCCGGGGACTATTGGTCGTGGTGTGTATTGTGTTTGTGACTATTTCTGTTTCTATTTTTATGCTGTATGTTATATTTTTCTTGTCTGCAAGGCATGAACGAGGAAAAGAAGACAACATGCATGTTGTCTGGACACCCCTCCCTCTTTGTGGATACTTCAGAGGTCCGTTGCCAAGATGATGAACATGCCCAGAGCGCGGGCTGCAGAGGAGGTCGGGGGGTTTACTATGATAAGTACTCCGTACAGGTCTCCATACCGGTAAGCCCTGGACAAGGAGTCAAGATACGTGACTCGTAGCCCATGCGGGGTCCGATTCCACCGACTCGAGCGAACGTCCTGATGAAGTTGTGCTGTTTGTTGGTGGCATCGGCATGGGGTGACCACCTGCTCCGTGCGCTAGGCTTCAGGCACTGCAGAAAAAGTGTTTGGGCCTGGCGATGGTGGGATGGAGGGATTGGATAGGAGAAGAGGGGATGACTCGGCGATGAAACCCGAGCGGACCGGTAACTGCCAGATCATGGCGTGCAGACACTATTGAGCACCAAATGGGGCAGATCTTGTCGAGAACAGCAAGGGCGAGAGGGGGTCACTCGTTTACAACTCACGGTTTAGACTACCAGAAGCGAACTTCAACTTCCGCCGGAGTACACCGAACTACTTAGTCTAGTACACATGGACATAGTACCGACCGAGTGGATCAGAATGCGAGCATGGGCTTGCAAGTTCAGGTTTGCACCCAAAGTTCTGATACGGTGTGTGTGATTGGCAGTGGAGCAGCAACGGGTCAAGGCACACACGATACGATGACTTGAATCATCATCAGAGGCATGCATGAATCGGGAGACAGGTTCAGGTTCAGGTTGGTGACGGTGTCCCCCCCCTATTGACATTGACCCGAACGAGGATCAGAAAAAGAAAATTCCCCCGCTGGTCAGTGGTCAGTGGTCAGTGGTCAGTAGTCAGTGGCTAACAATCGATGCCTATCCCTGCTGCTTGCTTACTAGGATGCAGTCAGTATCTCGTTAGCGCCGGCGACGGGCAAGTTCTCGACCTCCCCCTTCGGATGACTGATCCATTCTGATCCATGGGTGACTTGCCCCGACGGGTAAGGTGCGGGTGTGCCTGGCACTCTCTGGTGGCTGAGTTGACCTGCACCAATAGTAAGTCACTGGTGGAGTGCACGGATCATCTGCACGCCCCGTCCATCCTCTCTCTTTCCCCCGTTTTGACCAAATCTGGTTTAGCTCACGTGGTACAGCAGGGAAAAACTCAGGTAAGGTACGGAGGTTCTTCCCCTGGTATCTGCTGCTGCACTCGGAGGTCGGAGCAGAGCTGTGTACCTGCGTCTGCTATCTGCAGGACGACCATCAACAGGGAAATACGACAGAGAAGAAGAAAAAGCAGCGCAGGTTGCGCTCCATGGACATTCTGTCGATCCTGGGATTATTTCCCCGTATTATCATGGATTGTTCTTAGTCGCAACATGTTCTCGATCGCAACTCATGTTCGTAGCTAGTCGCCTTGATTTAATTGATTTAATATATTTTTCGTGATCGGGTTGGGGAATGGAACCCAGATGGAAGACAAGACGGCCAGACTAAGAACCGATGGAAACCGTCCCAAGACCCAAAACAGCGAGGGGGGGGGAGCCAGCAGCACGAGTACCGAACTGGAACCTCTATCGTTTTCTCCACCCGAAACTAGCGCTGTCATGTGTGAAGGTCCAATCATCCACAATGAAAAGGTGGGCAGAAAAGTTGCCGCTGGCACGGGCGGAGACCAACCCCAAGACAGGTCGCCGAGCTCGGTCGTGTAAAAGGCACACCTACGTAGTTGTTTTATTAACAGACTGTGCCTTTTCATAAGTGGTTCGGTATTAGAATCTTCGGCAGCACGGCTGTCTCCGAAAGACCTTGGGAGGTGAGCGACCTCTCATGCACCAAGTGTATACCTTAGTTATAGTTACACTGTGTAGGATCAGTGAGATCATGACATGGTTTTTGATCGAGGACACTCGAAGGGGTGGACAAGAGCTTGGAGCCCGAAGGCATCTTCACTCGAGCGAATGGAGTTACCCTTGTTAGCGAGCTGTAACTGGGCCATCAACTAGTTAAGTAACTCCGTTCCGAGGATTACCAAAGATCATGGATTTTCTCGGTTCTCCCCTGATCCAGACATTCACCGCCCACGGTTTCAGCGGTCGAGCTAGCAGAAGACGGCTGTCCCTGTCCCTGTGTGACGCTGAGGCTGGGATGGAAGGGAACAATCGAAGGAAGGAACCATGTCCATGCACCGGCCAGACTTTCGGCAGACCAGAAAGACTCGTCAGTAACTCCGTACGATCTGGTCAGTAATCCATTTTTTTTTTTGCTTGGCCTCGTCACTGTTTCTTGTTTCCATCCACCGCGCCCGGGATACTCCATCGCGCAGAGAGCGCTCTTGATTCGGCAATCTCGCGACAATGCTCCACTACCCGGAACCCTTGGGGGGAGCTTGTCGATATCGGGCGCTTCTGCAATGTCCGCCCGGTCACTGGAACAGTCCAGCTCACGTTGCTGCTTCGGATCATGAGGGACCCTACGTCAGTAGTGGACTCGACCGGACCATGTTCCTTCGACGGGAATGCACTCTCGCTGGGCTCGGTGCAGCTGCTACCAAAAGCAGGGACTTCCGGACGTTGGGGGAGCAGCGCATCTGGCGCTATTTATGGTGGACGATATTCAGTCAATCTTCTACCGTTCAGACCACCAGACCCAGAAAAAAGACTGGCTGAGCCAATAGGAACTTCTTCCAGCCACAGGTGCCTTGCTTGACAGCAGCAGCAGCAGCAGTAGCGGTAAATGCTGGCTGGTGGTGGTGGACGGAGGATGTCCCGAGAAGGACCTTACTTAGCCACGAAGTATCTGATACGAGGAATACTAAAGTTCAAAGTCGAGAGAGTACCTACCGGTACTACCTACAGTATACGCCGGCCGAGATGGGAGAAGCGTCTTTTTCTGATTGGTGGAGACATCGATTGCACAGGATGAAGAACGATCGGGCAGCCAGTTGCAGATGCAGTGGTGCAAAATGCAACTGGATGCAGGGGCTAAAACAAGGCGGTGGGCATTGGTTCTGTAACAACCTGGTCTTGCTTCAGGAAACGCCATGTGAAGGTCTGTAACGTCCCCAATGTTTTACCGGCCGGCGGCGGCACAAGGCGACGGACAACTGGAATCAACATTTATGATACAAGGCAGGACCAGAGTCATAGGGAGAAAAAGAATAAATAAGGGTGATCAATACCAGCGTCCATGATGTCTATAACAGACTCATGCTATGATCAAGATAGTATTGGTTTCTACGGGATACTGAATACTTTACCAATCGATAAGTATACTCTCACTGCTACTTGCTCCTCCGACTGGCTCTTCAAGTGATACTGGTATTCCTGTAGAGCCAACAGGGTCTGGGGGATAATAGACAATCCAACTGCAAAAAAACAACCAAGGGAGATAGAAACAGAAGAAGACAGAGAGCAAAAAAAACAAAAGAAAAAAGAAAAAAAAAGGGAAAGCCGGAAAAAGAAAGGAGAGCAGAAAAAAAAGAAAAGAAAAGAAAAGCGAAGAGAAGGGGAAGCAAAAGGCCAGCCCCACGGAGACAGTCAGGAACAGCCGGTGCCAAAACAGCCCAGCGCCAACTACTGACTCGCTAACCGTTTCGGGAACTCCCCCATCCCATCTCCTGACTGACTGACGGTCGCTCCAGTCCCGTCGCCCTCAACCCGCTTGCCCAGCCCGTTCTCCTCTCCTCCTGCCTGCCTTACTTACTCCTACTCCTTCTCCCTCCACCCGTTTGTCTTCTTCCTTTACTCTCTCTCCTTCTCTTCTTCTCTTCCTTACCGGCCATCTTCATTCCCTTCCCTTCTTTTCCCTCCCCCCCCCCAACCCCATTCACTCGTTTCTTGTTGTTTTTACTTCAATTCCATTCTTTCAATTATCACTATCCGCTCGCTTCAGTCGATCGTTTCACTCTTTCACGATCCCTCGATCAAATCTCCTTGTCTTCGCTTACCTTGAGCCGAGATCTCTCAACCAGTATCCGCAACATCACATCTCGGTTTCTTCGCCAATTGAGATTCGATCACGGACCTATATACTTCTGTCTCTGGTTAACGAAGTCATCGATTCTTTTCGCCTCAAGCTGCCTAGGTCAGCTGTTTACATTCATCCCGCTTCTTGACTATATCAACCCCCAAATCGACGCTTCCGCGACGCGCGCTTTTGTCCCGCCCTCCCCCCCAAAGCTTTGTGTCTTCGAGTTCACCCCGTGTCTCACAGCCAAAGCGCTTCCATTCGTTTGATCTCAACACGATTCTCTCGCGCTTGACGCTGCTACAGAGAGACCGATATCTCATCTCCATTTGACTGTCGACCGGATCGTCACCAAAATTCAACCCCTCCCTACACACACACACACACTTCGGAGCATCTGTTTCCACTTTGGTCGTATCTCCTTTTTCTCGTCGTACTACCTTACAATCTCGCTCAATCCCTGCAAACATGTCTTCGACAGACACTTCTGACCCTGCCACCACCCCATGCTCTGCCACCACAGCAGTAGCTACGGCAACTTCGTCTCCCTCGGAAACCTCCACTCCATCTCCCGCCATGTCCAATGCTACTACTACCACGACTGCTCCCGCCGCACGCCGTCCTCAAAGGAAGAGTACATTGACGCAGCAACAGAAGAACAACAAACGCCAGCGCGCGACCCAGGACCAATTGGTCACACTCGAAGTCGAGTTCAACAAAAACCCTACCCCTACCGCTGCCACTCGTGAAAGAATCGCCCAAGATATCAACATGACCGAGCGGTCCGTTCAGATCTGGTTTCAAAACAGGTTTGTGGTTTCTTCGCGCACATCTGAAGTGAAATACTGACCGCGCCGATGCAGACGCGCTAAGATCAAGATGCTTGCGAAGAAGAGCATAGAAACCGGCGAAGGATGCGATTCAATCCCCGAATCAATGCGCCAATATCTAGCAATGCAATTTGATCCCAGCAAGCCTGGTGCAAGAGACCCTTTTGGCCGGACAGGAGGCTACGGAACCAATGGGGCCTACCCTAATGAGCCGACCCCCTCTGGCAAAGTTGGTACGTTTGTCGAGCACTGGTGCAGCTGTGACATCAAGACTGACTGGCAATAGTTATTCATCACTTCACATGCCGTTCCTTAACTATCGGCAGCTGGCGCCGCATTGGGCAAAACGCAATGGACCTCGTTGTATTCTATTCCCCGGAGAAAGCATGCATGACTTACTATATCAACAACGATTCTGCCGGATACAAGATCGAATACCCCTTTGCCTACATCAAGAACATCACCTTGGAGTCTGGTGACCAGACCCCCGGACCAAATGGCGCCCCTTCGCGGACTGGCGGTCTAGTGGTGGAACTCAATCGACCTCCACTGTTCTACATGGATTCATCCAATTCTGGTGGCTTTTATCAGTGCGGTGACTTCACAGAAGACCAGCAAGCAAGCCAAATTCTGGTTCACCATCTCGGAGGCCACCCGAAGGTTCTTAGCGTCCAGCTCGCCAAACTCGTTTCCCTGGAGTCATTCCAAAATCGCCTGGCATACAATAACTTTGCTATGAATCCGCCCATGTCGCCCCCCTTCATTCAACGTCCTGCCTCCCAACCCAACCAATTCGCGCAAGCTTACCTGAATGTGTTTCCCGAGACCCCCACCCACCTGAGCGTTCAGGCGGTCCGTGGTCACAAGCGGCAACGGAGTCGTTCGGTTCCGGTAGCCGTCGACTTCTCTGCAATGCAGCCGCCGCTTGCCCAGTACAACTTCTCTCAAGCCCCTGCGCATTTTGGCCAGCCAGACACAGGGATCTTTGCCCCTATTCCACAATCGACTCATCCGCTGGCCCTGAATCTGCGTATTGATACATCTGCCGCCTACGGGTTTGATCCCCGAACCCACCCCATGTCGGCTACAACTACCGCCTCTCCGTCTGATTTCGCCAGCCCGGGACTTTTCAGTACCGGTGCAGGTGGTGATTCAACCCCCGTTGCTACCAACATAGGAACTCAATTCACCTTACCATTTGTCACGCCTGCTGTTGACTCAACAGTGGCACATCAGACGGCGTCCTATCCTAGTCTTGGTCATGCCGACCCTATGATTGCCAACCATTCACCACCACTCTCCAACATCTCGCACACATCGCAAGATATGTATGGTCTGAATAATGAGCACCAAACAAGTTACTCGGATGAGGGGATGGGGATGAATGGAATGTATGCCAAGCACAACATGACATTTGGTGTTCCTCAATCCATGGGGCTTGAAAGCAGCGCTTTTGATCTGCCCATGCAGTCGATATCTGGACACACCTCCCCCGGTGTCCAGGGGGAATTCCAGAGTCTGACACTCGAGAGTGTGGATCCTAACGCAATGGCGCCCGGCTCCTGAGTCCGGCTGTACGATTTTGGTAAACAAACTTTGGCGCTTGGGTTTATCCTTTGCCGTCTTCTTCTGGTCGGCATTCGAATCCATGAGTCTGGCTCAACCCTACCCGGATGGTGTCACTCATACCTCAACACACCTCGATTGACCCCTTCAGCAGGGTAAACGAATGCCTTTCAAACTTCTTTCTGAGACCTGAAGTCGAACAAGTTCGATGAGACGGATTCAATATTTCTTACATTGTGTCCTCAGCGTGTCTTTTTCTGTCTTTTTATTCTTCTGTGGGGCTGGTCCTGAGCGTTACACAGCGCCTTTTCTTTCCTTCTCGATCGCACTTGGATGCGCTTTTTTGATACTTCTTCACTGCCCCTGACCATTTTTTTCTTTTTATTCTCTTTTCTTCTCACCTCCGGTCAGGGGTGTTTAACGTGGTTATGCCAGAAAGTCGGACTAAGACGGCGACAGTTGGTTTATCTTCTATTTGTTTCTTGGGTTGGCGGGTTAGGACATGTTTGCATATTCCTTTTGTGACGGTTATTTGGTGCCTTGAGTGAGGTGATCCTGTCCGATTATTATCTACCATCTCTCTTCCAGCGCGAGGCTGAGACAAACTTCGCCGGGGTATTTAGAGTTCGAGTGATATTGAAGACCATTCCTCAGGGACCACCTGATCATGATAACTCAGTCTTCCATGTAGAGGTTATGTAAATTGATTTGTCCCAATCCAAAGGCTATTATGCTGGGTATCGAACTCCACCGTATCCAAGTTTACACCTAGTGAACGCAGCAAACTCATCTATCTCAAATATAATACAGCACACAAAATCCAGTCTCCCATTCCAGGATTCCTTTTCCACGAAAACCCAGGAACTCATTGAGCAAACCCCTTGGGCACGGGCGCCTTCAACCCCCGGTTGACCCGAAGATACCGCTCCACCCACATCTCCATGCGCTCCAACACATTCGCCCCCTCCCGCTGTCCCCCTGCATCGATCCCATCCCGACACCACACACTCCACGCCCCCATCTCCCGCGCCATCAGCACATCCGTCCCCAACCGATCGCCCACGACCGCGACCTCATCCGCGCGCACCACGACCCCGCGCTCCCGGAACCAGGCCAGCACCTCCGCGCCGCAGAACGGCTTCTTGGCCACCGCGCCCCCGGGCGGCAGCCGGAACACGGGGATGGCGAGGTCGGCCAGCTGCGCCTCCAGGCGCCGGACCTCGTCGTCGTAGCGCGGGTGGCTCCCCGCGCGGTTCGAGACGATCAGGATCGAGTCCGGCGCCGTCGTCTGGTTGAAGGGCGAGGTCGGCGAGGTGCGCAGCGCCGTCAGCTTGGCCAGGATGTCCGGGGGAAAGGTCGTCGTGCGCGCTGGGCAGAGGGTGTTGTCTTTGTCGAGGATGAGGGCGCGGATTTGGATTTGGGGCGGCGGTTTTTCGAGGGGCGTGCTGGTGCTGGTGCTCTTGGCTAGGGAGGCGGAGATGGCGGGGCCGAGTTGTTCGGGGAGCTGGGTGATGGTTGGAATGGTGAGGTGCGGGAGCATGTGCGAGGGGTTTTTGAGGAGGGTCGTCACGGCCAGGTTGAAGGCGCGGAGGTTGGTGTTTGGGGGGTTCATTTGTGTGAGTCTGTGGGGTTTTTTGTAGAATTGGGGTTGGTGGTGGTGCTTTTGCTAGCTGCTAGCTGTGGAGCTTAGCTGTGAAGCTCTTTTTTTTTTTTTTTTTTTGCGAAGGAACCAATTTCGGAGGGAGGGTTGGATGGGTGGGTATTGGGTATTGGTTATAGGTTCTTTTGCGTATTGAGAGTGCTAGTGGGGTAGTTGGTTTGTGATGATTGTTTGGGATTAGTTATTAGGTTGCGATGGCATTAAGTCAATTCATGTGCAGTCACCGACGAGTATGGTGTAAATGCGCGGATGGATAAAAATACTGGCTGGCCCTCAGCCCGCAGAGCCGCAAAACTCTCCGCCCGCCGAGTCGAGCGGGTGTGGTTGCTAACTTGCTGCTCTCCCAGTCAAATATCGCCGGTTTTGTCCTTTGCAACCAACCACCTCCCCTCCATCGTCGCAGGACCAATCGCACCCAATCTCTACCTTCGACCTCTATCTAACAGACAGACTCCCTCCCGGGTGATCGTTTAGTGCTCTTTTCTCCCCGCCTCCTGCTTCTCTTCTCTCCAACCAGACATCACAATGGGCAAGTTGACCAGCACGATCGGTATCCCGATCAAGCTCCTGAACGAGGCGCAGGTGGGTGGTTCTGTCCTTCAACTAGCTGGGATGCATGGATTCCGCAAAGTGCCTGAGCTAAATCACATCTAGGGCCACGTTGTCACTCTCGAAATCACGTCCGGTGTCGTGTATCGCGGAAAACTTCTGGAGGGTGCGTCCCATCCTCGTGACTCCCCTCGATCTGCCTCCCTCTCACGAACCAACAAACCTGAAAGACATCGTCGCTGACTTTCTCACCTCTACTATAGCCGAGGATAACATGAACGTGCAACTGAAGGATATCACGGTTACCGCCCGCGACGGTCGCGTGTCACACTTGGATCAGGTCTACATCCGGGGAAGCCATGTCAAGTTCTTCATTGTGCCGGACATGCTGAGGTTGGTTCCCTTTTCGGATCTTTCTCGGAGCATTGACTGAATTGAATGTTCTAGAAACGCCCCCATGTTCCGCTCACGAGGCCAGCGCGGCCGCGGTGTCGGTCTGGCTCGTGGTAAGGCCACTGTGCAGAGAGCTCGGGGCCAGCGACGAGGCTAAGGGGATTTGTTTGATTGATGATGATGGGGATGGGAGGTGGATAATCATTGACGTTGGTCGGCGTTTGTTTCTTTTCTTTCTGCTATGGACTCTGCAAATCTTGGATCTGGGTCGGTCGGTCGGGGGGGTGATTTTCCCATTGAATCGAATATACTACACGAAATCGAATGACGATTGGCCCTTGTTCTGGAGGAAATGGGTTCCCGGTACTAAAAATCCGTCGGAATTATCGTATACGTCCTGTAGGGGAGAGGGGATAGGGATGGTTTTTGGGAGCCACCGTCCGCGCGTGGGTTCGATACAAAGCTACGTACGAGTACTTTGGACGGAGTGGGGATGGGCAGCGCGAATCGATTGCAGCGCTGCCAGAAATGCTCGTAAACGACATTATTGTGGTCCATGGAAATACGAAACGGAAGTGCAGAGAGGGAATACGAAGGAAGGCGACTGAGCTTCCGCGCGCTGGCTGTCTTTTGTTCTCCTCGGCCTGCCTCCCCGCACCCGCACCAGCAGCAACTTTAAGCATCACCAACTTTTTCTTTCGGGGTCTCTCTCCTCCACAATCTTCAGCGAACGAAGCTCACCAAACCCAACCAGGAACACCACCTCCAACCTCAACATGGACTACGACAACCCCTCCACCGCCACGAGAAACATCATCCGCAATCCGCGCCGGCTTCTCATCCTGTCGCCCAGCTCGCATTCCACGACCATCATCCCCCCTCTCCTCCACACTCTCACCGGCGCACCGGTCACCGAGCCACCATGCACATCTACAACAGCCCTCTCCTCAACCACAACCCTCGTCGCCTCCTCCGCCGCCTCAACCGTCACCGCAGCCTCATCAACACCCGCCCCGCCGACGACGACCACCAGTTTCGCCGGCTACACCACCCACCCGCCTCTCCCCATCCAGAACCGCTACTACACAGCCGACATCCCCATCTGGGTTGACGAGATCCCCCTCTCATCAGCAGCAGTGCCATCGCCACCATCACCATCCACAACCCCCTCCCCCGCGCAATGGAAGACGGAATTCTCTGGCCCCGACGCCCAAGTCGTCCGCGACGCCGTCGGCGCAGTGATGATCTGCGTCCGCAATCCGGTGGACCATCGGCATCACCATCACCATCACCATGACCCTTCATCATTTCTGCCGGGTTCGGCATCAACCCTGGGGACTACTACGATTCCCACCACCGCCTCCGAGTCCGAAGCGGCAGAAGATCGGGCGGATGTACGCGGATTGAAGGAGTTCATCCACGCTATCGGGGAGGTGCGGGGCTTGATTGAGGAGGAGAGGGGGGGCATGGGTGTTGGGGAGGTGCCCGGGTTGTTGGTTTTGGTGGATGCTTCATCATCGTCATTTCCTGCTGGCGCTGGCGCTGCGAAGGAGAAGATGAGGGGTAATGGTGGTGGTGGTGGTGAGGTGCATGGACTCGATGGTGAGCTGGATGATCATCTTGATGTTGAGATCGATGAGCCGTTCTCCGTGGACTGGTGGGAGGATCAATTGTGTGAGATGGGGTTGATGGGGTGGGAGGTTGTGCGGTGGTGCCCCAGGGGGAGTGGGGAGGAGGATGAGGATGCGGGGAGGAATCGATATGGAGGTTTGTGGTTTCCTTCCTTCTTTTCCCGTCTCGTCTACGGAGTACTCTGCGGGGCTTGGGATTTTTTTGCTCAGGGCTGACTTGTTTTCTGTCTTGTTTAGAACTGCAAGGCATGCGTCGGGTTAAGGAGGTGTTGGAAACGCATGACTGGAGTGCCGCGGAGGAGGAGACCGAGGGGTTGGCGATGGGACTCGGTAATGACGGCGACGGCGACGACGAGGACGACCTGGAGACACAGCTACTCGGGCTGGACGACGAGGACGACGGGGCGGCCGGGTTCGATTCCGAGGTGAATGAGTTGGAGCGCGAGATGGTCGGTCTGCGCATGGCGATCGAGCGCGGCAGCGACGATTACTTCGTCGAGGAGGATGAGGCGGACGAGGAGCTGCGGGTGGATGCGGTGGAGGCGCTGCTGCTGCGGATGCGAGCGATCAAAGGTACGTAAATTTCATTAACTTCCTGTGCCATTCCTGGCTAACCGGATAATCAGATATGAGCGACGGGTTACCCAAAACGGAACGGAAGCGATTCGCTGCCAAAGCGGTGCGCGATATCATGAAGGACTTATAGCACATACACCATACTCCGTATATATGATATGATATGGCATGGCATGAGAGGATGTGGTCAAAGTTTCCTACATATACAGTACTGTACATATGATATCTATTCATGAAACCTTAACGTACACATCCCATAACAGTCAACGCCACACACACCGTAGGTACCGCTACTTTTGCACAACAGTACAGCGCGGCGCAGCGCGGCGTAGCCTTATTATCGTGATACTGCTTGATACATGCAGTGTCTCCTACTCCGTACTCCGTCCTCGGTACGGAGTACTCTCCGGCAAATCTCGGTCACGTCGCTCGCTCGCCCCCCGAAATGGCCCACCCCAACCCAGCGCCCAGCAGAGCACGCCCGCGGACCCATCATTTCTTCTTCAACGCCTTGCGTCTCTGAGCAATCATATGCGTGTAGAGAATATACGAGCCTGTATGTTTCCCGCAAATCCATAATTAGCATCACCCATTCCTCTCCCCCGGGGAAGCCCAAAAGCAAGGGCAAAAAAAAAAACATACCAGGCACATAAACCCCCAGCACGACCACCAAAAACCACCAATACACGGGGCTCACCGCGGCCGCGGGCTTCAACGCCTGCACCACCATCACACACTCACTGCTAATGCCCAACGGATACAGCACGTAGAAGGTGTTGTAGCGCAGCCACGCCCACCACGCCGGCACCCCGAGCCCGGAGACCTGGCACACGAAGAACCCATACCGGATGCACTCGGTGATGCCCCAGGCGCTGAGGCAGCCCAGAAACGCGTAGTCGCCCGTCTGCGCGCCCGCCACGGTGGCGGTCGCAGGGGCAGGGGCCCCGACAATCCCGCCCTGGAAGGGGTACATGATCCCCCAGACCAGGAGGATGCGGCTGGCGACCTGCATCGCGGTGGTGGTGACGGGCGCGCGCACGAGGCCTGCCAGGCTGTGGAGGATCTCGAGCAGGGCGAGCGATTGCGTGGCCTGCAGGAGCGGGTAGACTTTGTGGAAGATGAGGGGTAGTGGCGTGCCCGTCGCGAGGAGGGTGAGGCCCTGGAGGGTGCAGGTGGCCCACAGGGTGAAGTTGAGGGCGTTGTAGAGGATGAGGTAGGGTTTGGTGAGTGGGGATGGTCGAGAGGTTGTGGCCGCCCTGGTTGGGGGCTTGGTGGTCGCGCTGGTTGACATCTTTTTTTGATTCCTTTTCTTTTAAAGAAAAAAAAAAGTGAATTGGTGGCTGTGATGGTGTTCTGATGCTGGTGAGAAGCTATGTTAGAAGGAGCTGTACGGGGAGGAAGCGGTTTGTGTTTGGAGTGAGATGTGTAATTGGAACGGAATGAGGAACTGACATTCAATTCCAGAGAAGTCAACGCTCAGGTAGGGAATCGGACGGCCGGAGTAAGTAGATCGGTGGCCTCCAGGGTGCTGACTGCTGACGTTGAACAGAGGGCTGACTGGAGGTCTGCGATGAAACCCCGTTAGGTTCTACTGTAGACTGCCAGGAAGAAAGATTTAACAATAGATCTGTTGATCTGTTGGGAGCGTTGAGCCGAGGTCGGGTTAGGCAATCACGTAATCACCCTCCCCCGGATTTTCCAATCCAGACTGATGGAACCCTTGGATCTCAATCAGTCTACAAAACAACCAGACAAGCGTAACGCTTGACGCAAGGCAGATGCTACAAGCATGTTCTCTACATCCAACCCCGTACCAAATTCTCCTGGTAGCATAACCTCATATAAAGTGCATTTTTTTTTATAAAATTGGTGACATGAATAAAAACTGAGCATGCTTGCACGTTTTCCCTTCAGGCATGGATGGGTCTTTGCGAACCGCCTTCCAGCTGCTCTCCATATTCCGATCATAACCAAAAACTGAAAAAATAAAAATAAAAACAAATTCTTCTTATAACAGACACTCAAACATACTCGCTAATCAAGGACTCCAGATGCAACCTGCAGCGCGTAATGGGAGAACTAGCCTCCTGCATCAGTCGCAACGTAGCTGTATCCGTCATCCGCTGCTAAACAGTTTCGTGACCGTACAATATCATGACATTCGTGATCCTCATCATCGCTATTGCAAAAATTGTGCGAGAAAGGTATACCACTGAGAAGGAAAGGGTGGGATTAAAGCAAGGGCAAATGCTTCAGGTCGTCTCCCCTGGTGGGGAAAAGACAAACAACAAAGAAGGAAAAAAGCATCATGATGACAACGGCGGGAAAGTACGAACGAACAGAGCGATGCGATCGCTAATTGCTGTGCTGTGAGTTTCATAATCATCAATGCCGGCATATATCATCGTTTCGTATCGTGTCTTCCGTCATTTTCAGAGCCGTAACACGTCATCTAATTCGCACGAATCACAAGTTTTGAAACAAATTTGTTCGACAAACAATCGAAGTCGTTGCGGTTGAACTTGGTACTGGACCGGCCACGAAGATAGCTCTCTGTTGTTGGACGTTAGTCAACCAGCCAGACGAATGAGCGCAAGAAGAACATACCAAACTGAGTCACGTGCTGGCGGACCTCAGTCATCGTCGTACACACATCAGGGTTCGAGTGAAGCAGGTGGTGGTGTTTCGTGGTTTCCCAGTCCGTAAAGGCGGGAAGCTTCTGTGAGATCGCCTGGAATAGGCCAACAATGACGCCAACAGGGGTGGTCTCCATATCGTTGCAGAATTTCTCCACTGCAGCAGGTTCCTAGGCAGGGGGTTAGTTGATGGTTCCACCACATTCAAGTTCAAAACTACTCACTGGAGTACGGTAGTGGCAGTCAAATTGCATTTCCTCCCAGACTGCGAGAAGGATCGAGGCCAGGATGAAGATGGTGGGCCAGTTCTTCAACTTGTCGCCGCTGTAGACGCTAGAGTAGAGGCTTGATAGCTCCTCCAGCACATCCTTCTGCAACTCGCGCCACATATTTGCCATGGCACACTTGATTTGGAAATTGATCATGACCGGGGCCATCGTCTTGCCCTTAAACCTAGATGTTGATGAATCGATCTTTCCAGGCATGCATTGCTCCTCACCCAGACCTTCAACCATAGTCACGTGGAGCGTTAGGTTGTAGGCAATGATGAGTTTCAAGGCCTTGCGAATGACCGGCAGCTTCGTGCGGTAATAGTAGCGGAAAGCGGTCTTCAGCATCTGTGTCAAGAAAGGCGTGCCCTCGAAGTAGTCGTCGACAAACTTCTCAAAGGTACCGTTACCATCGATGTGGCGATCGAGATATTCGGAAAGCATAGCGTGGGAGATACCCTCCATTCCAGCAGACAATTTGGCAGTTTCAACCTCGAACTGAGTAGGCTCTCGGTGCATGCTCTCGACCCAATCAACGCTGAAGCATTGCTCGTCACGCACATACACCTCACGAGCGTTGATCGGGAGAATCTGACCATAACCGTGAGTGATGAAGAGGGTTGTCTCGTGTTCTGAGAAACCCTTGATGTTCCCCACCGAGAATCCAAGGGAGATGTGGCGCTCATAGTCTGCTTTCCAGTCCTTCATGAAGTACCCGATCTCCTTGATGTCAATGCGGGTGCACGGAACCTGCCACAGACGAGCATGCGACGGTTGACAACCGGCGCAAGGTTCACCTTTGTCACACTGGTAGTAAACAAGTCAGCAAGCACAAACCATACTCGTTGAGTTTGCGTTGAGCCCTTACAGTCTTCTTGAGGAACTTGCAACGCAGGCAAGCTCTCAGCTTCCGTATTTCGCTGGCCTGCTTCCGCTGGTCGGGCTTGAGCGGACCCTTGCGCTTGCCGATTCGCTTCTCGGTGGTCTCCGGCTTTCCATTCTGCGTTTGCTTCCGGACCTTAGTCTCGGCGGTCTTCGCAGCAATCGGGCTCTTGCGAGAAGGCTTTCTGCTCGGGGGTGAAGCAGAAGATGACTGCGAGGCGGCCGATCGAGGAGAGGTCGGCTTCTTCGAAGGCACCGGAACGGGCCGCACGATGTTCACAGGGCTGACTGCCGTGGGCGAGACTGAACCGTGCGAAGTGTGGTCGTAGGACACACGCCGGGTCAGGCTGTTGTTGAAAGCCGCATCGAAGTTGGTGTCAGAGCCAGGAGAGTTGATGGGATTGGTGATCTCAACAAAACTGCCGTAAGACGTTGAGTAGGAAGATTCTGACAAGCTTCTGTCGTGTAGCGTCTGCGTAGGATTGATGAAGAATTGATCTGGATAGGTGAACTCGTGAGGGCGCCGGGTCTCGATGGTGTTCCAACCGTTGTCGCTGCTCGAACTGGTCAGAGACCGGACCTCTAGATAGGTGTCGGTGGGTGAGCTGCTCTCAAGCAGATTGTGCGGCGCCGCATAGGAGGTCATATCCGGAAGACCATGGGGGGCCGCGAAACCCATGAGGTCGGCCTGGAAGTCTTGATAGGGAAATGGCACCATCTCCACTGGTGCGGACAGCGACAAGTAGGGCCCATCCAACAGGCTCGTGCTCATATGGTCATGGGTTGGGGGCATCAGATCCACGGGCGAAGAGTGGAGGGGCATGCCATAGCTGGCGGTAGCGTACTGAGGGGCGGACGACGCTTCCTCTTGAGTGTACTGAAGGTGGGGTTGCAAGTGCTGCCCGTGGAATTGCCAGTCGACGATCAAGTTAGGGTCGGGGACTACCGACTGATCATAGGCGTGACCGCTGGTTTGTAAGGGCGAGATATCTCGCGATCCATCGGGTCTCTGAGAGGGCTGGTGATCCACTGCCACGGGCCATGGCGTCGCCTGGAGATAGTTCCTAGAGTCGTAGTCTAGGCCAATGAAGCCGTCACTGGATAAATCGACGTTGGACATCGTGACAGCTGAGACTATTTACCAAGATAGAGAGGGAATAAAGGAAAGGAGGGCATCAAACAGATTTCGTTAAGAGGGAGACTTTTATCCCAAGAAGCAATGGAAAGAAAGAGTAAGGAAAACCGGAACAAGCAAGAGGATAAGGGAAAGGAAACGTGAAGAAGAGGAGAACGAGGTGACAGGAGACCGAGCGATAGACGGAGGGGAGAAGAGGGGATGAATGGATGAATGGATGAATGGAGAAAGCAAGACACACAGATAGTAGTTAAGATAGAGACACAAGAAGAGACACACACACGCGCACACACACACACACACACACACACAGAGAGAGAGAGAGAGAGGAAGACACACACAAACAGTTGTGGGTGGTACAAAAAACAAATAAGAAAGAGAAGAAAGAAAAGGAAGTGGATGATGGAATGGAACAGCAAAAGCAGCAGCAGCAGCAAGCAAGCAGCAGCTGGGCGAGATGAGCCTGAGGAAGAGAAGAGCCCAGAATCAGAATCCGGGGGATGCAAAAGACAATCAAATGAGCCAGAGTAAAAGAAGGCGAAGACGGGCGGGCGGATAGCATGAGGCCATGGCTTTTTGAGAAATTAGAGAATTACTGATAATAGTCTAGTCAATTTTACCAGGCTACTCAGAAGGGACTAAACAGGTGGGGATGGGATGGGATGGAAAGCCGTGGTGGTGATTGAAAGGGAAAAGCAGTGGGAAGTGGAACTAAGCAGCACTAAACAGCAAGTGAAGCACACACACAGACACACGTCCCCAGCAAAAGAGAGGGGACTCAAAGCAGCGGTGAGGCGGGAGTTGCGAGAGTTGCGAAGTGTTGCGAAGAGTTGCGAAGAGTTGCAAGAAGTTGCATCGGCCGGAGAATACGCTAGGGAGTCCTGGGAAGGAGGCTTCATCCCCAACTCGGTTAGTCGGAGTAATTACCACGTCCCTCTGCTTGCTTCGACAAATCCATACCTTTCTTTTAATTTTTGTTTTTACTCATACATTTTTTCCGCACTTGCCTTTTTATCATTTCCCTTGTTTTTTTTTTTTTTCTTTCTCCCTCTTTTCCATCTAAAATATTACCTTCTCTAGAATGGAAAATGTCGGAAGATGATGACGATGTTTGACACCACGTCCCATCTCCCGTCGTCTCAATTGGCGTGCTCATTATTGCTCACGCCGGCTACGATGACCCTGAAGGGCCTAGTCCCCCCCCCTAACCCACTCTCTACACTTACATACTTTCTCGTTACTTACATACAGTAGTCGGCTTTTCAAGACTGACTGGGTACGGAGTAGACCCTCTCCCGATCAACAAAAGCAAGAAAAATTCAGTTTGATCCGGTTCGGCATCACCGTAGATTCGCTCGATTGACGAGTCTCATGATTATCCTTCCCAATCGCCTCTGGGCAAGCGAAACCTTAGACGATCTTGCAAAAGCATTGCCGGTAGGGCATGGAAAAGCACAAGACGCTAGTCTGATTGATGGGGGAAAGGGCAGTACTAGTCGAACACAGACATGCACCGGCTGCATTTGTATCTCGTTGGCGCACCACTTCCGACGAAAATCACAGTTACTTGATTTGCCCACCTGACAATTGGTTGCGTTCAGGGTCGCACTAATAGATAAAGAAAGGGCTTGATATCCAAATATCTAGGTACGGTAGCGGTACCCAGCACCATTACTACTACTGCTACTACTGCTACTACCACTACCTATATCACCTTCATCTGCAAGTGGAAGTTCATCAACAATGATGGATGGATGACCAGGACTCTGGAGGCTCAAAAACTAATGACCACGGTACGAGACGGAATTTTCCGTAGGCGAGACACGGGAGCAACATTCGGGACAGGAAGATCAGTGGAAACCGGCCAGATCGGTTGGGAGGGGCCTCTATTGACTAAGGCAACACGATTATTGGCATGATGGAGCAGCAGCTCCGATCTTGCTCGGTCGGTCGTGGCAATAGGTACCTAGTAGTACTCAGATGGGCCGTTGTTCGGAATTGGCCCCGCAGCCACTTACCTAGTACTAGACTAGAAGACAGGGCACAGGCGCACTCCGCGCCGCCTGTTCAAACTCAGCCACCTCGCCGGATGTATGTATGTGCTGGATGTATGTAACTTACTGTACTACGTATTTTCCATCGATGATTCCATAGCAGGTGGTTTCATGAAAAGGACATAAAAAGGTCCGTGAAATTTGTAGTAGGCCCTGCAGCGCAACACAATCTATGACTGGAATCAGCTACCTACTGAAAAACACTGCCTACTGCCTGAATGGGCATATCAATACTCAGCACTTTCCCAGGACCTGGTCATAGTACATTAGTCCTCACCTAGTCCCGGAGCTAGGTAGATCATGGCCATCATCCAATGATACCCATCGGTCCTGGTCAATCAATGGTGCACACATGTTGGCTCCGTTGCCAACAAGGTGGCTGACTGTACATGAGCTCCAATCAACACGACCATCTGATAGCATTTCAACTCTCATTAGCGGCTAGGGATTTCGAGAGCACGGAACAGAGAAAGAAGTCTTCTCTGCATCGGTCCGCTAGTGAGGATAATGAAAGATCATGATGAAGCCCGTAATGATGACAATAATAATAATAATAATAATAATAATAATAATGACTATGGCAGTCGCGATCTCCTCCTACCGTCTCCCCATCAAACCCCATCGGAAGCTTTAACATATGATAATTATTGCGCACAACCGTTAGGCATATGCGATCTCGCGCTGCGTTGGTACGATCTGCCTACTGTTACTGTAATGTACATCTCTGTGCTGTCAGGATTTTGCTCGACGCTTCACGCTGGGTATGTATTTCTCCATCGCTTTCTGGCTGCCTTCGGCCCATTCTAGCACAAGAAATCAAGGAAGAGAATTCCATAGCCGCCAGCACATGTAATAGCTCATTTCGGCGTCGATTCGAAGCGCCAGAATGACCTATCCAAAATTCATTCTCAACAAAAAACTTGTAAGACCAGAGCAGGGCACTGTCAACGCCAGCAGCATTCACGGGACCGTGTGCGCAAAAGTCAAAACGGTCTTGGCCGAAGCCCTGGGACTAGTCATGTATGTCTATTTCACTAGAACTCGACCTACAGAGTCTCTCCCTACAGCAGGTGGTACCGAGCCAGGCGTAAGGAAACGCTCTGCATATAGGCGGGTATGGAGGAAAGACAAGGCCCGTGGGCTCCACTGCCGGGGGGGGGGGGGGGGGGCGGAAGGGGACGCTCGACAAATCGATATGCCGGCTATGAAACAGTCAGTCTCATTGAATTTTTGACTCGCAGCTTTGCCACGCCAGCCTGGCTTCACGCAAGAACGTCTCCAACGCGGTGTCGCTTTCGGCAGCCAGCGAATTTTCTAGCGATGCGCCGCCGATTGACGGCGATGGGCGCTTAAAAAGGCAACCCATTGAGTTTTATAATTAGCACATCCACACAACCTTAGCTCGGACTTGGTGCTGTTAGGCTAAATCCAGAAGAAGGATGACGATGGATTTCCTAGTCAGATGGTCAGTGCTTGAGGGCCTTGGGGGATTAGTACTCCGTACGGAGTAGTTAGTGGTTAGTAGTTATCGGCAGAAGTCGAGACAGCAGCGATCGATCAACTTTAAATCCTATCCGAGTCAATCCCCAAGCAGACGACCGAATCGAATGCTCTTGATCGGTTGGTTCCAGTATACCTGCCAGCCAGATGACTTTCAAGCACTTTCAAGCATGAGAGATGGGCCCAATCGCGGCTGTAACTGTGAGCCTCCATCAGATTGGTTAAGATATGATGGATGGTCTTCGTATTGTACTCGAGTAAGTTATTTGCCGGCAGGGGATCAATTCAAAGTAGTAAGTTAGCTACATGTAGGATTAAGAATCAGGCCGAAATGCTCGCTAGCCTCTCTCGGTCAACCGAAACGAAGATCCATTCCACATCCGCGATGGCTGGAAGACATGGAACGAAAAGATAGGGGTGAGCGGAACGTGTCAGTTGAGTCAGTGACTCAGTGGTCTCGACAGTGATATCATATTATCTCTGCCCAGCCCTGAGCTCGATCGAATGAAAGAAAACCGATGACTCCAAGTAATCTACGCCAGAAGGGAGGCAAGAAGGAAACGAATCCAACAAAGAAGATGTAAAGAGCTGAACTGCGCACTTGGCTTGTTTCCGCAACTTGACCCAAACTGGGGCCTGAGGGGTCAATCCCGCCAGCCATGGCAACCCCACCACCACCTGACCAGAAAAGAACAATGGTTTTCCTGAATGGCGATGTCAGAGCTCATCCATTGGCAAGGGAAAAGAACAATTCAAAAGCTATCAGGAGCTGGATCAATTACCCTTTTACTATTTGAGACAAAGAATTAGAAACTTAGAGATATAAGTCCCCAAACCGGCCTGGTCAAGCTAGCTTCCCATGCCGATCGTGATCGCGGCTTCAGGGAGACAGCGGCGCAAAGTTCGTTTTACTACCGCCAACCAAGCACCGAAGCCAGGAAACACGCAAAACCACCCCATCCGGCCTAAGGTCTCATCAAGTGGTCGTTCATCTGCTGCGTCTACAACGACTTCTACTGACCATCAGTCATTGCCGAGACCCAACGACGAAATGTGCGAACCACAAGTGCAACCCGGTGTGCCAGATCTCTTCACCACGCCGCCTCTGCTCTTAGATGCTTTGGTGACGGAAACTTCCGAGGTCCAAGCGGAGACGGTCAACAAATGTCTACCTTTCTTGAAGGGCATTCACAGCACCCAGAATGGCCCTTTCAGCCGGTTTGGCGTGCCCGCCCTCACGAGGGATGAGCATGTAGCCTATTTGTTCGACTCCTTAGAGGACTACCCAGAGGGGTTCGTTGCCATGGATGCCAGTCGGCCCTGGCTAGTCTACTGGGCCCTGGCAGCTTTGAGCCTTCTAGGTGAGGATATCAGTAGAGTCCGCGAACGGTGAGTAGAAAACCTGTGCCCCTTATCTCCAGTCCTGTTTTGGGCCCGTGTGCTTTGTTGCAGATGCCGGATGGACCTTGGCCGAGTCCGGGGCAGATCCGGTGCCCAATAGATCGAGCGCCTACTGAGACTCATCGTTCTTGCTTTAGTGTTGTCAAATCATTCATACCCATGCAAAACCCGACGGGTGGATTTGGAGGTGGCCATGGCCAATTGTCCCACTGCGCTTCGAGCTATGCTGCTGTGCTTTCCCTTGCGATGATCGGAGGCGAAGAGGCATACAACCTAATTGATAGGGAGAAGATGTGCGTTGTCGAGCTCATACCCCCCTACTTGGCCACTGGTGTATGCTGCTGACCTCGACTCAGGTGGAGATGGCTTGGAAGACTGAAGCAGCCCGATGGGGGCTTTAGAGTCTGCGAAGGTGGGGAAGAAGATGTGCGGTAAAAAGCCCCTCACGACCTAGATCTCTTCTTTTGCGTACATCCCATGCCGTACTGACTGCCAGCTCAGCGGCGCTTACTGCGCGATGGTCATCATATCACTACTAGATTTGCCACTTATCCTACCCCCGGAAGCCGAAGCCAGACGACATGGTCTGGAGACGTTCGATAGTGGCCTCTCTGCATATCTTTCTCGATGTCAGTGCTTTTTTCCCCTGAGCTGACTGCGTTAGGCTGATCCCGATTTCTAGGTCAAACATTCGAAGGTGGGATTTCCGGAAGTCCCGGGTCGGAGGCACATGGCGCCTATGCATTCTGTGCTTTGGCCTGTCTGTGCATCCTGGGCCAGCCTGAAGTGACCGTGGCGAGGTGAGTAGCGTTTGCTTCTCGCTCCTCTTCACTCTGAGTGCGGCTAATGGTGACAGGTGCATGGATGTCCCTCTTCTCCTGTCCTGGCTCTCTGCTCGACAGTATGCCCCTGAAGGCGGCTTTTCGGGGAGAACCAATAAGCTGGTTGACGGATGCTACAGCCACTGGGTTGGATCTTGCTGGCCATTGATCCAATCCGCGCTCGACGGAACTCAACCGGCTGCAGGGCCCAAACAGAGCTCTGTGGGCAACCTCTACAGTCGGGAAGGCTTGACCCGATATATTCTTGGGTGTTGTCAGGCCAAGTTCGGGGGTCTTCGTGATAAGCCTGGAAAGTATGATTTACCTCCGGAAAGTGTTGTCAATGGCGCCTCTGCTGACTGAGAGACGTGAAGACATGTAGATTCGTATCATACCTGCTATGCCCTTGCGGGTCTAAGCACTACACAGCATCACCACTATCATACAACTCGCAGTGTCTCCAGCAAGGACGCGTCAGCTTTCTCATGGCAATACACTTCTCCAGTCACTTCTGACGGCGATTCAGCTGATGTGAATGTGTTTGACGAGAACGACAAGGTTGCAGCTCTTCATCCGCTTTACGTGATTCCTCATGCGGCTGCGGAGGGAATGCGCCTGTGGTGTGAAAGGCAACCAGTAAATGTGAATTAGCCAGCCTGGGACTTGGGAACATTTTTGGTTAATCGAGTGGGGAGATGGGCGCGAGTGACTGTCAGATAGTTGGAGTGAATCTCACTTGTACAGTACAGTACAGCTACCTTATACATGCACGTAAGAGTCAGCTTAAGATTAAGGGATCTGTGTGACCACCGAGGTAAATTGGGGGGGGGAGGGGGATGGATGTATCCAGAAGGAGGTGCCCTTGAGCAGCCACGCGGGCTGACAGACGAAAATGAAATGGCAGTGAGGATTGATTGAGGGTCGCACGAACTGTTTTGGTCACCTTGACAAGGACTCGACTTCAGTTTTCTGTACCACCTGAGCTGCCCTGCAGCACTGCTTTTCTCTATGTGCAGACGGTCCATCTAGTTCATTCTAGCTTTTCTGGGCGTTGTCCAGACCAGCCCCTCTCTACCCCTCCATTACTCATCGTCCTCCGTTGATGAGAGCCGCCTTCCTCTTTCCACTTCCCCCTGGCTAATTTGTAGTTTGAGCGCCAACAGGAAGAGAAAAGAAGACAAAGACAACTACTCCCAGGAGCTTGGGCTCCAAAGACAGCCAGCAGACACCCCTCGAAGATGCAACTCAAACGGAGCAAAGCATTCTTTACTCGCAGATCGCAGAATTGCAACGCCCGGGGCAGCCAGCGGGCGACTTACACCATGCACAGACAGACCTGCTGCAGCCCGCCTATCCGTCATATCAAAAGGAGGGGGGAAAGATGGGGGCCCGCTCAAGAAGGAGGGGAGGGGGGCGGGCAAAAGGTCAGTTAGAATCAATCTCTCCGGGGTGGCGCTGAATAAGAAGGAATCTGCTCATGTTACTCTGCAAGGTTGACCTCCCTCTCTTTGCCCCTCGTGTCAAAGTGGCATGGATTCCTTCTCCCCTCCCCCGGCGCACGAAGCGTCATTGCCAACTCATCAGTGCATCCGCAATGCCTACCTGTCAGTCAACGGCTCCAATGGAGGAGAAAGTGGGCTGGACCAATCCGATGCTGCTCTCCTGTGTGGCCAATCTACGGAGTAGATCCTATCCGGAATCTAGTCACGCAGCAGTTGATACATCGAAAGTGGTGTGCTCCTTGACTCCCTTCGATGATGATGATGATGATGTTGTTGTTGTTATTGTTGTTGTCGTTCAATCCCACTCCTGGACAGCGGGGTTCAGTCGTATCTGCTATCAGGGTTACTCTGGATTGGCTCCGGGAGAGCGGTCAACTTACACTAAGCGGGCTACAGAATTCGGATCGTTTACCGAGTCGTTAAGAATCGTGATCGTCTACTAGTATTGACCCGGGCGAAGAAGGGGAGGGGGAGCCCCAAAAAGGGCCCGCTATTCAGTCCAATCATGGGCTTCAGTGTTGTTTCCTCCACCAGCAGCCAGCGATCATCCATCCATCCCCCTTCTTTCCCCCCTCTCCATGTACAATGGAATCACGGCTTCCTTCTGAATATTCTATTGCCAGGATTCATCTGCGCGACATGAACCCCTTGTTCTGAAGCATCATTCTGCATTAGCTGGATTCCACCGCACCTCCTTTCTCGTGGGTTCTTTCTCCCGTCCTTCCATTACCTTCGTGATGATTTACTCGACCGGGCCACAATTGTGGATTCACAATGCGGGGTTCAAGGGGCCATCGCTCTCACCCGAAATCAAAGATGCGAATATGCTATGGGGAGGAACCTTGCTCTATAACCCAAGGAAAACATCGTGACCCTAAACACAAAGGGGGAGAGGAAAGGAGCCGCGCTTACTACAGCAATGGACCACTCTAAGGTATGCCCAGAGAAACCAGTCCATATTCTGCAGCAGAATAGATGAAGGCCGAGACGACCGATTTGCTCGGGCGTTCAAAATTCTGAACAACATCTCCATCGTAGCCGCCTAGATCGGCGGCGAATTACACGGTGGCCGATGGGCCAGGACGTCCTGAATCTTTTCACTTTGGTCCACTGGTGAAAAGTCATGCCAGCACATCAGCGCTTGCCATATTCTGTTCTCCGAGCAGAACGGCAACGCAACGGGCAAAGCTAGTGTGAGGTCTAAGACAATTCTCAAAGGCATGGCATTCGTCTGCTGCTTTTCCCCTCGGTCAACCTGGTGGGGAATGGTCCAATTGAACCAGTTGCGAGCCACTTCCTTTATTTTAATTCTATTCACCTTACCGGATTTTTGTTATTTTGGACAAAATCTTGCCTTTTTCTAAGAAGCTTTTTTTTCGGTTTTGCCTCCTTTCTATCCATTGTGGCCGTTCCTCGACGACTTTTTCTGGTCTCTCTATCTGAGAGAGACTATGCAATAAATAATAATGATTAAAAGCTTTGAGGGCTGCTCCAGATGCCCCACCTCTTTCTTTGTGCGAATACCTGGGCGGTCATGGAAGATATCCCCCTCGACTCGCTTTTCTTTTCCCCCCTCTTGCTTTCCCCAAGTGTAGGGCACGCTGTGTTTGCCTCGTTCCTGGCCGCTAGTTTTATTTTCCCTTGCGACTTTCGTCCTTTGGTTTGAATTGGTCTCTTCATTCTCTTCGCTGGGCTTTTCTTGACCCAATCTTCTCACACCTGGTGACGGGCCTCGCTGCTGGCTATTAAGAGATATAGCAAGTCACATTGGCCGTTCGATGAAGACCGTGGTCATTGGGCACCAACCGACACCGTTTACATAGGGTCATCTCGATGCCATCGGTGTGACCGCCAGGATCTTGTGCAGTATCAATCGATCTGTGGCAGCGAATACTGAACCAATACTGGCCTGGACCATACGACCTATTGGACCTGGACAGGTTTCCGCGATGTACTATATTCTCTATCTTGCAAGTATGTAGATACTCTGTTTGCAATTCGTCGAACAAGGTCTCGTTCGGTCCCTTTGTGCCTTCTATGATTGGATCCAAAGGGTCACCGCTTCGGATGACCCTCGCTGTGCTTCCCATGGATGGCCGTGGTGGTGGTGGCCGTTGTTTTACCTCTCCTGGAGCACTACTGCTATGCACGTCATGAAGGACAGAGGTTCCAGCAGACCATGGCTACCTAGTGAGGACTTGGTTTCAAGTTCACGCAGCTATGATTTGCTCACTCTCTTGGAAGTCCGAGGGGGTGGCAGCCTGGGACCTTTTTTTTTCTTTCCCCGTTTCCTTTATGCTCATCGGTTTCCCACACCGTTCAGCGTCCAATAACCATGTGTACAGGTCTCTGCCGACGGCGCCGCTGGCCGGAACCTCTCTACGAATCATACAGCGGCGCTACCGGGTATACGTGCATTGTCCGAGTCAACAACCGCGAGTACCAGACGGACGCCGTCTATGAATCGGACACCCTGGCTCGGGAAAATGCAGCGATGCGGGCCTACCTGATTTGCCGCAACTTCTCCGTCAACGACGGCATGTACCCTGCCGGGCACGACCACGGCGGTGTCATCCAGGGCATTCCGGTCGCCATTGGCACCGGACGCAAAGTCCGGTACGGGGTGGACGACACGGACACCTCGACCAGTGGCGAGAGCCGAAGTAGTGGCGGCAGCAGCAGCCCGGAGAGCTATGGAGGGGACCGGATCGACTGCGACCGGCAATCAGCGATGGGCCCGTCTCGAGCGTTGGCGTTTAGTCGGTAGGCTGCTTTCTTAAGGGAGGGAGGAGGCGCGGGGAGGGGAAAGGTCTATAGGCGCACACTGGCCGTGTCGGTACCCAGATAATAAGCTTGTTCTTGCCTTGGCTTTTACAAGAGTTGAGTCAGGGAAACAGGGGCACAAGATGAGATGGAAGATCGGCTTGGCTTTTGATGACGATGACTTTATGATTTTATGACACGAACAACCCGGATATCCGATAGATCGAAGCGTCTCTTTTTTGTTTGGTTTTGGTTTGGGTCTTGTTGCCCCCATCTGATGAATGTGATGAATGCTCATTGTGGAAGAATGGATTGGACGGAACTTGTCTGCGGGTGGGATCACACAGGAACCACCCCGGATGGGATGATTGTGTGTACTGTGTATGTTTTGGAGGGTTGCATTGCGGTGGCTAGCGGTGTCTTTTCTGGGAGGTGGCGGTGTGCATTGTCGGACTGTCGGACTGCGACTGAATGTGATGTCTCACGAATTGCTTATGCGCTCAATTGCTATAGTTAGGTGTGCAGAAGGGCAGGTATGTATGTACGATACATACGGTGGTGATTTGTCTCCTCTTCTTCCGAAGCCCCGTGTCTTTTTGACTGAGTGTGATATGAAGCCACGGTCAGATTCGATGTACAGTGATTACCGACATACTCATAGTTACAACTCACAAACTCACTCAGGAAGCCTTGTGGCCTGAGGCATGCAAGATGGCTGCCACAGCCGCTGACACATCATGACGTAGGGCAGGGAAGTGGGTGAAGTGGTGTCTCCAGTTGTCGTCCAAGGCAGGAAGGCGCAACTGACGATCCACGTAATGGCCGAAGAGTGACAGCATTACCATTGCCATGACCATGACCATTACCATAACATGAGTGATGATATCAACTCCTCATCCACATCCCGGTCGAAGGACCGACCCCCTTTTTCTTCCCATTGCTTGTGAAAAGCTTGACTTGGTGTGAATTCCAGAATCTCTCCCCCCCCTCTCTCTCCAAAACACTACCACTCCCCAATTGTTCTCCCTGATAATACTTATATGCCTCTTGTCAATTGCCGCCCTCAAAAAGCCCTCACCGCAACATGCGGTCAATACTAGGTCGGATTCCGCCCATTCCCTCTCGTCAACGACTACAACAATGGGGGAGTAGTAGTCGCGCCGAGTCCGGCTTCCCTGCTGCGCCGTCAATAGTACTTTCTATGGTACAAGCGGGCCCAGGGCGGCGGCGGCGACAGTTCCAGACCGCAGCAGCGCCGCCGGCGCACTACAACTACAACACGAGCACGAGCACGAGGACTGTTGCACGGGGTGCTCCGACGGCGGGGCAAACCCGGTGGTTCAGCAGCATCAATGCGCGTCTCCAGTCCAAGGGTCCGAGGCAAGAATTGGAGCGGTTAGAGATCAAGGATGCGAAGCCTGAGGAGGACGAGGAAGGGGTCTGTTCGTCCAAGGCCCAGAAGGGGGAGGACAAACTTGGGCAGGCGATGACAAAGGGTTAGTAAATCAGATGGAAATTGCCTTTGAAACCTCTTCTACCTTTACCTTGTGTCTCCGTGTCATGCTTTGGGTGTCCAGGTGAAAAGGTGAACTAAACCAATGGTACACAGGTAAACTGTTGACTACGCCGTCACGATTGTTCAAGCTGCTCCTCCCGTTGTCGACCAAATACCACCGTGACCATAAGGGTGAGTCCCAGAATATTTCCTTCTGCCTCCGCTGTGTGCATGAAAAGAAGGGGCGCCATGCTGACTGACCTCTGTGTGTGTGTGCAAAAGACATCGAACCCATCGCTTTTCTCATCCACCCTCAGCAACCGCTTTCGCACCTGGAGCGCCTCATTCAAGCGGAGATCCCGCCTATCAAGACGAAGGACGGACAAGCCCGAGCCCCGTCCGTCTCCTTCATCGCGCTCCAACTCGAGGACAACCCGATCCGGCCGCGGAAAGCGCTCTACGAGGGCACCGAGGCAGAGGTGCGCAAGTTGGAGGAACTCGGACAGGTCAAAGAGGAGAAGCAGCCCTCGGGCGACGACACGTACACGTACCTGCGACGCAGCGAGCCCGGCGGCGGTAAGAAGTCCATGGAACATCGCTTTGTGCGGTGGTCGCAATCCACCGAGGTGGGCGACTTCATCCGCGACGCCGCGCGCGCGCGGGAGTTTATCGTCTCGGTCGAAGGCGCGCCGGCGGGCCAGCACCAGATCCACGTCGCGGTGCCCTCGTTCAACGAGCGCACGCACTTCCTGCGCATGCGGCTGCGGAAGATCTCCGACCGGATCAAGAACATCGCGGACATTAAGCATGAATGTGACGCCTTGGCGCACCGCGGGGCGCAGCGCGTAGCCATGGGCGGGTTCGGCGTGCTGGCGTTCTGGTGGTGCCTGGTGTACAAACTCACCTTCGAGACCGACCTGGGCTGGGATACGATGGAGCCCGTCACCTACCTGGTCAGTTTGTCGACCCTGATGGGTGGCTATCTGTGGTTCCTCTATCACAACCGGGAAATCTCGTACCGGTCGGCCCTCGACTTCACCATCAATGCGCGTCAGAAGAAGCTCTACGAAAGGAAAGGGGTGGATTTGCGGCTGTGGGAATCGCTGATCGACGAGGGCAATTCGCTCCGCAAGGAGATCAAGTCCATTGCTGCCGAATACGACGAGGACTGGGACGAGCTGAAAGACGAGCGCGACCAGCGCGTGACGGAAGCTTTGAAACAGGAGCGCGCGCAGAAGAACGGCTCTCGACAGAATGACAATGATACAGACGATTAATAGATTGACATGGTTGGGGGGTTCGAAAAAGTCTATTCTAGGCTAAACCGCCCTCGTCCTTTCGAACCTGATCGATCATCTCTTCCATCCTCGTCGCTCACTCCGCACAACTTTCGCTAATTGACCACACCTTCACCCGTTCCGCACCGGATCATAATATTCCTTCTTGCCCGAGACGCCACTGTTCGTCTGACTCTGCGGTTGTGGTTGTCTCTGTGGCGACTTTGAGCGACCTAGATATTCTGTCAATATTCGTTTGTTTGGCCTTGTTTTCCAAATGTGTACAGGATACAATGTATATAATTTTGACTCCGCACATAGACATGTATGTATGTATGCTTCCAACCTTCTCCTAGGCTTTGAGTTTCTTGTTCGTCCCCCTCCGAGGGTCAAATTTCGGGAACGCAACCAGAGGGCATAAGAAAGAGACCGAAAAAAAGAAGGGGAAAAAAAAAAGGCAAACTTACCCCTTTCCTCGCCGCGCCTGCGATTGCGATTATTCCGCACATCCCGGGACCGAAACACGCTGTACAGCAACCACCCCGCCACCCAGTTGGGTCCGTACTCGCCGCCGCCGGCGGCGGTTGTGTCTCCTCCCGCTGCTCCCGCTGCTCCTCCTCCTCCTGGGCCTGTGGCAGCCGCACCCCCGGTGGTGGTATTGGTCGGAGAGGCGGCGGAGGTGACGACCGCCCCGCGAGCGAACAGCGGGCGGGTCAAGGGACCCGCATTCCGGGCGATCTCGAGGATCCCCCACCGTTGTCGCTCGGGGCGGATGTGATGCCAGAAGTACGGGGGTTTGGTGGAGGGGTCGGCGGCGACGCTGTCCAGGAGGTTGGAGCGGTCTTCGTTGAGGTGGTTGTAGGTTAGGATTGCTTCGTCCTGATTTTAGGAAGGCGAGTATTAGTTTTGGGTGTTGGGATTGGGATTGGGGGGTCTTTGTGATGGTGGGGAGGTTGATATTGGGTTAGGAGGAGAGGAGATAGGGATGAGGGCTGTTTAGGGTAGGGATAGATGGCTGGGCGGGTAGATAGATTGTGTATAGACAGTCCGGGGTAGAAGAGGCGTGTGTGTATGGTTTTTCAAAAGGAAGTGTGTTCGAGGCCTGGCGTATCTTCACCATGAAACTCACACGCGTATAGAAACAAGCGTGAACGGAGGTAATCAGGGTAGAAGTTGCAAGGAAACAGACATGCTTGAAAGGGTGTATACACAATCGATCATGATATACACACAATAGAAAGACTACTCACCCTCATTGCACGATAATACTGCTCATGCTGCGGATCATGCGAGTTCAAGCCTAGGGCTTGCATAAACTCTTCCTTAGAGGCTCGAGGGCCCACAGCCATGTTTCTTACTTGTGCGAACAAATTAGGCGATCAGAAGAGAAAGAAAGCGAGACTATTGCTTTTGGTCTTGCTCTTTGCAAGTTTAGATGAATGAGTGGGCAGGATTGCTGGATTGAGTCGAGTGCCAGTGCAAGTTCTTGAACGGGAAGGAAAAGGAAGTGACAACAATGAAAAAAAGAGCAGATTGAGAGGGAAAGAACCTGGGTCGTGGATTGCCAGAGACTGAACGAGATTAGAAGAAAAGAATAATGAAGAGTGGATGCGTAGTTGGTTGTTCGAGGGGCCAAAGGTTAGTGACACCTAGATATATAAACATTTCGATCGGTTCATGATCCCACCCCCATCGCACCCCTGGTCTCCTGGTTTGTATTCAATCTCGGGGAGAATAATGGGTGAAAACGCAGAAAAGCGTGGCGAACGCCTGCTGAACAAGGATTTCTTGTCTAATGAAGTCGGCAAGTTGAGTACAAGAATAGTGGATGGGGTAGGAGGGTTGTAGAGAATCAAACAGATGGTGGCCCTGGTCATCGTAGACCAATTTTTAGGGGGTGGGTGTTTTCTCCGAACGGGAATATGAACGATGGAATAGAACGGAATGGATCTGAGAACTGGGAGAATGAGATGGATGGTAATTCAGTGAATTAGTTGTACGACGAGATTGAATGGATCTGAACGAGGATTGTCAGTTACGGTTCGCTATGAAAGTCACGACGGATAGATTCGGGGCGGCTTGCCACAATCGTTCCCAAAGGAAAGGATTTATCAGATGTAGAATCTGCTCTTTGTTTTGTGTATCATCTTGTCCTTTACCTATGACCTAACTCGCACTTAGCAAGATAGATAAGATGCATAGGTTGCCGAAAAAGTATGGACGGAGGAATGGAATGTTGGAAGAATAGATCCCCATGGATCTGCTGCAGCTGCACCATTTCTCGTCCTCAGTTGAAGATAGAATGTGAGCATCACAACCCCTCTTCCCCATCTCGACCCGAACAATAGAACACCAGAGAGTGAGAGAGCCGTTTGTTTCCCAGCAACCCCGGGTCGGAATCATCCGTCATCCGTCCCACTCTATAGACAAGGGGAAATGGTGGGGAGTGTATGTATCTATCCGATCGTCAGGAGATATGTCTGGAGACAAGGGGCGACTTTGCATTGGATCAATGGACTAAACTACCGAGATTGATTGTCAGGCCATTTCTTGACGACTTTCAAGGACAAGGGAGGGAGGCCATGACAACGTGATGATATGATGTTGGGGAAGAAGTATGGAACGCACGTAAATCCAGTGAGTACTGTACCTCGAGAGCGAGTCACGCGATCCGTACCAAGACCATACTTGCATGCTCGACTGACCTGATGAAGTTGCTAGGTTCAGGTTTGGCATGTAACATCCCCTCTTGTCTTGATGTGCATGGAGACGGAACACACGTTCAGAAGGATCTGGATTCCACTCATCCAATCCGGTTTGTTGATCATGGTAGGTGGGTGGTCAACCGAGACATTACCGCAAATCCCAAAGATGAGACTGTCAGATTTCAACTTTAGTACTTTCTCCAGACAAAGGATAACAAAGAAGAAAGACAGCAGGAATGTGCGAACAGTCAATCCATACAACCCGCCCATCCCGGTCTAACCGTCGGTTGTGTAATCAAACCGCGCTTCATCCAGGTCACTGACAGGAAAGGGTCTCCTGGGCTGGCAAGATCCAGTTGTGGCTGTTAATCCCATGGGGAAGAAGATGGTGGGAAGAGAAGATACGGCTAGTGGGGTGGTGTCCTTTCGACAGGAGGAAGGATCAGGGAGTCACTTCATCTGACTGATGGACAGATAGGAAGGCTGATGGGTGGGTGATTGATCCATCATCGACAACCAGGGAAAAAAAAAAACCGGAGAAAACAAACACTCCGGTCTGGTTTGCAAGGTCCGTTGTGACTTTTCTAGAACCCACTCTATTTAATCGATCGATCAATCAGGAATGGAATGAGGGTGAGGTGCAACAGGGAAGAGAAGGTGGGGGGGAGGGAGGGAGAGAAGAAGAACTTCTATATGCTTAGAAGCAGAAGAAAATATAATAGGATATAGTAGCTGGAAGGAGGAAGTTCCCACCACCCCACAAACCAGCCTCGCTCTTTTTGTTTACAGTTCTTCCCTTCCCCCTCAGAATATCATAACCATAATCATGACTATGACCATGACCATGACTATGACCAGGACCGGGCTAAGACATTCGTTCGCAGACAAACAGAAAGACAGACGAACCGACTCTCGAGATTTCCTGCATGCACAACATTCATTCAATCTATCCACGCAACATCCCAGCAGCACATCCTCACTGTCGAGTCGCCGTTTCTTTCCCTCCCTGCCCTCTCGGCTCCCAAATGGTTGCGCAATCTGGACTTTCGTGTAAAGGTCATAAGTGAGGCGATAGGTTGTACATCCAGACGGAGAAATGGGTTCAAACCAAGACCACATCTACCACCCACACCCAGAGGACACGCACACCGGCACTCAAGTATATACACAACACAAATACGCTTCACGCATACATACCTTTCCAGCCCAATTCGCATCCTCTCTCCCTCTTGAGCCGCAAAGCGGACAGTTGACCTGGACGGATCGGTTCTTCCTTTTCCTTTCGTCCTTCCCAATCCTTTCGCGCGAGAACGAGTCAACTACCACTAGACTGATGTGATAAGGGTGAAGTGAGAAGAGGAAAAGCAAATCATCTACCCTGAGTTTGTCTGTTTGTCTGTCTCATCCTAAGTTCCCTTGGCTTGGAGGAATCACAGGTTCATATACAAGGTGGGTCTAAAGAAACAAACGCGGGCTGGGGTTCAACTCGAAAAAGACAGAAGACTGGAGAGGGGGGGGGCGGGGGAGGGGAATTGGGTATTAGATGAAAATTGAAATGTGCGATCAACCCTCGTGATGATTCGTGACGACGACGACGATGATGAAGATGACATGCAAGAGACAAAAATACAAACAGATGCTGCTGTTCCCTTCCCTTTCTCCTCGCTTGTGGTGCAGCCTTGATGGAAAAGACTATCTTTTATTGTGTGGAAGGGTGATTCGCTCTCGTGGTCACCTCTCCGCTCGGGCGGTATCGATTTGCATTGGGTCTTCTTGTACGGAGTGTATGGCCTCACTCCCTCACGCGGCATTATTCAGTTCAACTCAGTAACCCAGCATGCTTGCTTCATCTTCTCTCTACCTTGCCCCGTGGGTCATCTGAAGTTCTCGGTGGGTTTTCCTTGATCGTGGTTTAGGGGCTCTCTCCATAGTATCTGCGCAAGAAATCCTCGACCTCCTTGTAATCCTTCTTAACTTGGGTCAGGGTCTTGCGGATATTCTCAAGCGAAACATCCTGATCGGGCTCATCGTTGGTGCCAGTCTCATCCTTGCCGGCTCCGTAGTGCTGGATCTTCTCACATGCGTCCTTGACCTTAATCAGTCCCAGAGTGGCGGAGGAACCTTTCAGGTAGTGACCCAGAGACGAAAGCTCGGCCAAGTCCTTGTCCGCTCTGTTGTTATCGAGGGTCAGTAAGCACTCGAAAGAATGGAGACCATGGCTTACAGGTGCTTCTCCATCTTATCGAATGTGTTCTCTGCCTGATCAAAGAATCCAAACACGATGCCTTTACTGAAGTCATTATCGCCTTCGTCATCCATTTCAAGAATCTGCTCGAATGTGTTTTGGTCGATGGTCTCCGACATTTCTGCCAGCGTGGTTGGGGGGTTGGTAGCGGCGGTGCTGGTGGCGGTCGTGGTGGCAGGAGCAGCAGAGGCACCGCTGCTGCTGCTCTTGGGGGTATCGGCAGAAGCTGGAGCAGCAGCAGCAGCAGTGGTGGTGGTCGTGGTGTTGTTAGGGGTGTCATTGGTAGCAGCGGTGCTGTTGGTGCCGCTGATCTTCTCCTTGGGCTAGTGCGCACAGTTAGCAGTTACAAACGGCATTTCTGGACAAGGGGCTCGCGGGTACGTACAGACTCCTCCACGGTCTTAGTGGTGGTGCTGGGCGCCATGGTGGAAATCGGTGGTGATGAGATGAAGCTTGTCACTCGGTTGGCTGGATCGAGGTGTGGAAAGTGACTCGTGTTGGCGGGGGAGGGGAAGTCAAACGCCCTCTCGCGATCACCCGAACTGGAAGGATGGCTCTTGCGCGCTTGTCTTCTGTTTTGACGCTGTGGGTCGGTCTATTCCGGATATTCGCCGAGCCCAAAACGGAAACCTGCGAACACAGCGGGTATACTTGGGGTTTGGGAGGGAAAATTTACACGGCACGAATCTGTAGAGGATTCACTGGTCAGTTTTGGTCTTTCTGGTCCGCATAGCAAGTTTACAACAACAGCGGCAGCAGTGGCAATAACAACGGCAATAGCAGTAACAGCAATAGTAGCGCGACAGGTTCCTGGTGAGATGGCCCTACGCAATGAGGGTGTTACGACAGGTCTTCAAAGAAATCCACCTAGCACCACACACAGAAATCAAGGTATAGAGCAGACTGTCCAAACAGCAGTGCACACAAGATGGACAGAGGGGGAGTTCATCAATTCAAGATTGACTGTAAGATGTATGTGTGTGTGTGTAGCGGAATGCGAGATCGAATCCCAAAAGACAAGGATGTGAATAATCAAGGGAAGCTCAACAGAGGGGGGATGGGGAGCGGGGCGAAAAGAGGAACAGACAAGGAATCTAATTAATTTGCAGCTTGCGAAGGTTGCTTCAGATATGCTCTCGCCGCCTGGGGTAAGGTATCAAAAGGAACCGGTGAGACTGGGATCCAAGGTGAAGTGGCGTGTGAAAGATGAATGAAAGGGAAAGGAAAGAGATATGGTGCGGTGCAAAATGCAGATATCACTCAATCACAGCACATACACACTAAATGGGGCGCATATGGAGATCACCTAGAGAGAACAGCTGTCTGGATCAGGAGGAGACGGAGTCACGCAGCGGCCAGTGGATAAGGTAATGAAAAAGAATAGAGGGGGAGGGGTAGTGGTTGTGTAGAGAGGTAGAGTAGAAGACAGCCGAATGTCAAAAAGCGGAAGCAAGCACAAGCAAAATGAGAACAAGAAACACTGAGAAAGAACAACGCGTTCCTAGTGAAG